TCTTATCTTTTTCAACTCTTCCCCTAACAAAATTACCCTGTTCCCTTGTATTAGCTGCTTTTATTGCTCCTATATAGCCTATAACTCATGTATTGTTATCCTGAACCCCTACGAACATTCAGACTTCCCTTGGCCAAAAAAGTAAAAAAAAAAATCACATAATTCTCACCATGATGTAACACTGGTGGGTTTAGCCAAATCATAACTGTCCTTGTTTTCCATAATTAATTGGATTCCTGTCATTGGGAAAGATAATTAGAAGTAGTATTTAAATTGCACCTGATACTCTCAGACCTTAACATTGCAAGTTAATGGGGCGTAAAACCTTGGGGCTTCATTAGATCTCAAGGAAACTAAAGAAATGGATGGCATGTCCCAGAATGACTCCACAGAAGGAAATATAGCTCATTTCCTGCAACCCAGTTTCTGCTGGTAGCTCAGAAAAGTATCTTGCTGATGGTTTATCTTATTTCTATTGGCTGAAGCATTTGGGTGCTGTTAAGAATCGATGTAACCCATTCTAGCCCTTCCCTCTTACCTCTTCATTCACTTGTTCTGGGGTTAGGGATTCAAGTAATTATCACTATAATTGGCTTGGACCAAGTGTTAAACAAGTTCCTACAGGAGTGTGAAGAGACATCTTGTATTCCTGTGTGGGTGCATGGCCTATGCCAGAATCTAGCTTTTATGGGATAACTTACATTAAGACAAAAGGCTTAAACTGCTCTAAGTTAGCTCCATTCATCATGAATCACATTGGGTTTGAAGTCTGAACACTAATTTCAACACACTTCCAAACTCTACAAACCTTTTGCTGGTATCAGTATTTCTTTTGGTTTAACACTTATCTTTCAACCCCATGCACTTCATCACTACATCATTTAAAATTCAAGATCATATAATATTATAGCAAACATATCATACCCTCTATATATCTTATTACATATAGCCCCAACACAAAACAAATATTCATTCTTAACCCATGTCCTGGGGAAATGACTCAGATAAATTACTGGTTTTGCTGGAAATACTGCAAATCTGGGCTGTAATGGATTTAAGGGAGAAAACAGGATTCTTCACAGCTGATGGCAGGGCATCCTCTTCCTTTTCTTAAACCAAGGATCTGTAATTCAAGCACTTCTACTGATGACAGCTGTGCTAGTATTGTACTGGGTGAGAGAGAGTCTTAAGTAACCAGGTCCCAAACCTCTTATGGCTTTATACATTAAAACTAACAGCTTGAACTCCATCTGGAAAATTACTGGCAGCTATTGCTGATTATGTAGCACTGCTGAAATGTTCCCTCCTTGAGGCACATGATTTAATTTGAGAAAGGCCACATTCTGTACTAGTTCAGCTTCCGGATGGTTGTAGAATAGCCTCAGGTGGGCTATATTGTGGTAATCTAATCTGCAAGTGACAGTGGTAGCAAGATCCTCACATTTTTTAATGTTGTAGGAATCATATTATGTGGATGAGCACATTCTTAGCTGAAGCTGCTTTCTTGAGCATCTGGGAGCAGCCCAGGAATTGATTACATTTCCTTCTGAAAAACTGTAGGAAAATGGTGGCAACACTCCCCTTGTCAGTAGTATCAAGATGACCATGATATCTCCTTTATGTCTACCCAACTTTCCAATTTTACCTCAGTGTCTTTCTAGGCTGAGTAATTACCCAAACCCAGTCTTGTCTGAACATGAGGCTATTCACTGCATTGCATTGGCTGACCTTTCTCATTTGAGTTTTTATTGTACAGCTGCTGTATTCTACAACCATTTCTTATATAAGTAATCACTGGCTGCATCTACACATACAATTAATGTGATGTGATACGTTCTGGAGCAGTTTGCACTGGAGTAACCTGCTACACATGTGCAGTGTCTATATATGTACCAGGACAGCAGCACTTTGAGCCAGGGTGGAGCAGTCCCGGGCTGGCAGCAGG